CTCCACTATTTGGCCATCCAAGGGCTTCTTGGACACTGGGACATCTGCAAAATTGATGGATCGCTTTTGCTACTGGAAACATCGTTGAATACACTGTAGTTGTCGACAGAAAAAAGAGTGATGCCTTTAATTGGTGACCAAATGATAAGAGGACAACTGATGGATATTTCTTGCTTCATTTACAAGCTTATTTGTACTATATTCAGAACTAAGGGGAAACAAAACTGAAGACTTGAAACATCTAAATTTTACTCTCCCGGCATCTTTACTGTTCATGTTCAGCTACGTGAAAAATGATGACGGGTCATATACAAAGCAGCCCACTACCATGGAGTCAATTCCAACTCGTGATTCTGTCCTATAGGAACCCACCCCCCAGGGGGTGGGGAGAGTGTTTGTTCCACACGTTGCAGTTTTTACACAAGTAGATTGCCACATCTTTCTCCTAGGTAGAGGTTGGTGGGTTTGAACTGCCGACCTTTGGGTTAGCAGGCAACGACTCAGCAGCGCTCCTAACATGTCATCCAGAATAGCAGAAAATACAAAGGAGTTTCAAAAGGTCCACAGGAAAATTGGAATTTAAAGGAATGGAAGGTTTGCATGAACTTTTTGAAGCGCCCTCCCTTCGTACATAAACTGCCTTGAACTTACTCTACAAAAGGGAGGGGTCACAAAGGATGTTGGATCTTCTTTTCCACCCATCTCTGAAAGAAGTGCTCCCAGCACTGAAGGGGCTTACAAGTGCAGGTATGAGGAGCCAGGAATCACAGGTGTGGCTTGCATTTCCTTCCGCCACAGCCTGTAAGAGCAACTGGTCAGCTTTCTGCAACCACAGACAGGGCTCTTCTCTAACACAATCTCAACTTGATACGAAGCACTTACACGAGGACTGGTGCAGACAAGAAGGCAGCTTTATTGCACTTTGGGAAAAAAGAAACATGATTCCACTTGGCGGGGGCCATTAACACTCAGTAACACTGCCATCTAGTGGGACAGTGACAGGCTATCGAGATTCTCAAGACCAGAAGTGAAATGTGAGTGGACTTGCTCGTTTACGTTTCACCATAAAATGGCACTTTTAATAAGCTGGGCTTCAGAGAACCTCAGACTTTTCTTGAGAAACCATTTTTATTTTTGAAATGCATCAATATATATGCTTTCTCCACTTTTTTTGAGGGGGGAAATAAAGAATGCGTGGTTTTGATTTTCTTAAAATAGACCATCAAATTCATTCTCAACTAGAAGTTATGAAACACTTTGGGGCCACCTGCCTCTTTGAACATTCACCACTCGTATTTGACAGTCTAAACGCAACCCGATTACGACAGACAGCTTTAAAAAGAAGCAAAATTCAACTGTACAAAGACTACATTAAGTTTACTCATTTCCTTTTTCTATTTTTACAATCTAGGGTGCTAAAGTACTTGTATTTCACTTAGTTGAATTCCTGAAAAAAAGCATTAGAACACACCAATAACAATTTTGCATAAATCACATTAACCCAACTCTTATATGACTACACATTAGCAGTGGAAGATATGGGTGCAAGGATGTGGCAAGGCCGTTCTTAATGAATAATAGAGTATTTCTTCTCACGGCTTTAATTCTCCTTTCTACCCAGGTGTTGCAGTACATGTGCTGATTTGATGACTTCCATGAGCATGTAAATTAGAATACTTAATGCAACACCTGGATGAAAAAAGAAATGAAGTTGTGGGAATAACATATTGTCAATAACCACAATCTCAAATCGTCATCTCTGTTATGGCTGAGATTTCAGATTCTGGGTTAAGTGCTCTGTTCTTTGGAATATCCACACTAGTTATTGATCTTGCTAATGAGTTCCTCTCATTGCAACATTTCTAGGGAGATGGTTGGAGGCACTCACGGATTCTAGAATGCATGAGTCTGACATGGTCTTCATCATCTTCTTGGCAAGTAGTAAACTCAGCTAAGGATTTTAGGAAGAGCCAAGTTCTAGGAAAGAGGTATACAAGTGTAGTAAAAGAAGTTGAATTAAAACATTATTTTTTAGGTTGCATTCTGTTGGTAGACACAACTGTATGTTTCAATTCTGAGAACCTGAGATTGTCTAGAAAAAGAAAGTTCTAGCAGAACCCGGTGTTTTACATTTCTCCAAGTAACAAGAATTGGGGTATGGGGGTGGAGCTGGAAATATTAGATTTGAATACGGATGTTCTTTTGAGGTGCGCCCAGAGTTGGTCACATTTTGCATTAACTCTCCCAGTGTGCAGCCTTCTTCACAGGGCAATGAGCATCCTAACGGGGACTCGGAGTGACGCCATCAGGAGGTCAGAGGAAGTGACCACCTCACTCCAACAGTCAAGTCAACAGTGACTATTCGGGCATTCCTGAAGCCAAACCCACTGACAAGGCCACAGGAGCCTTTTATTAACTCAAACATGATGCCATCGTCATCTCAAAAAAAGTTTATTAGCAGGATTAAAAACATTTTCTTGAATAATGACAGAGTAAGAGCTTCTAAACATGGAAGAATATCAGTGGCAATACCTCAAAACCAGTATTTGGAATTGAATAGACAGCTTTATTGCCTGTCTTCATTTCACTGAAAACAATCCATTTATTGGTTCCATGGGAAGTCATCACTATTGCTTTGTCTGGGGATGAGTCCCTACTGCAATTGAAGTATAAAAAATACCTTCCATCATAATTGAAGTGTGACCTGTATTACTGAGTAAAGAGCAATAAAAATCCTCAAAGAGTTGGGTTTTTTGTTTTTTTTAAAAACATTCCTTTTACACACTACAAAGAAATAATTAGTATTTTGGCTTTTTAAATTCCTACATGAGACTTGAATGGCAGTCCCCAAACCCTCCCCAGCACATAATGCGAACACAGACCCTCTTCAGGAGGGGGCGTTCCTGGGACGGGCTCTGAAGACTGGGTAGGCCATGTTCAGACTGGCTTGAGGACAAAGACGGCATCATCCAGAACATAGTAGTCATTGTACATGTCGCCTTCGCACAGGTACGGCAGTCTGGTGAAAGCTTCGATAACAAAGCCAGCTTTCCTGAAAACTTCCGGCAGACTATTCACTTGTTCTTCCCAATTCTGTCCCTTGATTTCCAAAATCTCTGAGGGCTTCTCCCACTTGCCACCTACTAAAACAAACAAAGACACTAAGTTAAATTCTTGAACAAACAAAAGTATTTATTTGAGGAAAAGGAAGGAGGGGCCCTGCACGGGATGCTTGCTGTACACCGTGAGGCAAATTGAACTTCCAAATGCACTGCCATCAAGCTGATTCTGACTCAGAGCAACCTTACAGGGCAGAGAAGAACTGGCCCCTGTGGGTTTCTGAAGCTGTAAATCTTTACGGGAGCTGAAAGCCTCTTCTTTCTCCCTCGGAGCATCTGGTGGGTTAGAACTGCTGACTTTGTAGTTCGTAGCTCAAAGCATAACCCACTATACCACCAGGGCTCTCCCCATGAGGTAGGTGGGCAAAAAATAGAAGTACAGACAGGCTAGCGTTTGCCCAAATGTATACAGTACTGAGTGTCTGAGCAAAGTTGTAGTCCCAGGCCAATCTGTACCCAGCGCCTCACTTACCTTTTATTACAGTCATAGAGAATACTCTCCTCCCTCGGAATGACTGGGATGCAGTCAGAGGACGACTGCAATGGCCAATGGGTTCAAAAGACCCATCACTAATTCCATGCACAGAGAAGCAAAGAATAAGCCTTGCAAGAAAATACCTCAGATGTGGTTAATTTATGCAACTACCACCTAAAGAGGTTTATCGGGCTGAAAACAAGACGGGGCCTGTGAAGAATCGGAACTCATAAAAAGAGATCATCAGTGTGTTTTCCAAGGGAAGTTGTTCAGCCCCTTATCTTTTCAGAACAAATTCACAAAGACTTAGGGCTGTATCAGTAGTTCTCAAATCTTGACTATCAGATGCCAGGGTGGGTTAGGCAAGAGTAGGCAAGGTCTTCAAAGCCACACACAAATCAAGAATTGACTACAGACCAATTGCTAGCACTAGTTGGCAACAAATCTATTTCAAGCCAATAACCTAGGGAAGCGGGCTGCGAGGGTCACTCTCTGGCGGGGGGAGCAGCAGCAGGGAGACCAGGCAGGCAGGGCAGAACGAAGAGATGCTGGCAGAATGCTGGGCAGCTGGTATGCCTGCAGGCAACAGTGTGCTTGTTCCTCAGTTTGATGGTGCCCTCAAAGCATTCCTCCTGGTGGGATTCCAGAATGAAACCTCAGTCCCCAGAGTGACTCTGAGAGCTACACTACTACTTTGCAATTCATTCCTTCTTGCTCAAGTTGGCCAAAGTCAGTTCCTGCCACGTGCAAAGAACCTGACTTCGAGCATATCTCAGAGACAAGCAGATAAAGTCTGAGTTCCCACTTAACTCTAGCCCCAATCCAAGAACAGTCAGTTCTGATAACATGGCCCTGCTCGACACTCACCTTCAGGAAATGCTCACTGAAGATAAGGGTGCTAAAGCAAAGTGTGGTGAAGAAAGCAGATGGTGCCCAGCTATCAATCAGAGTAGTGTCTGGGGTCTTAAAGGCTTATATTCAAACAAACAGCCATCTAAGTAAGGAATCATCTAGGTCCACATGGAAGAAGCATACCAGTTTGTGTGATCCAAAGAAGACAACACAATTCAAATATGATGAAGGGAAAAGTATCAGAGTTTAAATTATGAACACCCAATTGGTAGAAGGCTATGGAGGAGAGTGGGAGTCCAAAACCCATCTGCAGAGTCTCTGGTCAGACTAAGCCACTGGCAGATCCCCTCTAGCCACAGGCAAGGGTCTCCAACAGCTTTCCTATCAGATAGAGATCCTTGTAATTGTGATGATGCCAATCGAACTTGATACTTGGTCAGTTGACCTTCCCCTAGACCCAACCTGAATTTGTTCTAGGAGCAAGCATTTCTTCCTTGTTCCATGACAAACATTTCTTCCCTGGCTTTTTAAATAATGGTGGTGGTCTTTTCTTTCTTACTCATTACTTGTATTTTTATCTTTATATTATTTGATCTTTACTACTTTGTTTTTGCTTGTTTGGGTTGGGTTTTCCACTTTGTCAAGCACAGGAGTAGATGCATACAGATAACAGCTGATGTAAGGATTTATAAGGGATGTAGGGGTGGGGCGTGGGAAACATGGAGGGTGGGGGGATTTCAGAAGCAAACAATGTATTCAAGAGAGGGGAGGGAACAGAACTGATTGTGATTGCACAACTCATTTTAAAAGTAATTTAACCATGAAAAAAAAGTTCTAAAATTGATTGTGGTGCTGATTTTACCATTCTTATTGATATGATTGAACTATTGAATTATATGATGTGTGGATTATATGCCAACAAAACTGTAACACAAAAACAAAAACCAAGACCCTAACAGTTGAAGCCTCTTAGTGGAGGTGGGCTGGGGGAGAGAGCCTGCGCCGTACAAGGGGCTCCTTGAACTCAAAACTGGAGCAGGACTAGCCCATGGTCCACAATGTATTTCTTCATTGTACCAAGAGACCTGGTGCAGTCATTCTTCTCATGTCTCCACAGGAAAACACTTCCTTCTTTGCTTCTGCTCCACTTCTAGCCGTCTGTGGCCTGGTCCTCTGGCACACAGTGGCTGCCAAGTGGAGGATGGGCGGAACTGCTCGGGGAACTCATGAGTGCTACCATCTATCAAAGAAATAATACTCCTGCTGTGAGTGTGCACTTCATGTCAATCAAAACCTCTAACATGTATAAGGATTTGTTCAATTTGCACAAATGAGAAGAGAAAGCAGAGAAACATTCCGAGGTGTGCTCCAGGCAAAAATCTCAACTTGAAATGGGGAAAGGCAGTTACAAACAAGCTTTACGCAATGTCAGAGTTCCTGATCAGGGTTCCGGAGCATCAGTTCCTCTCTCCAGTTCTTCCGGTCTAGAGGAAGCCTGCGCGCAGGCACGCACACACGCACACACACACCCCTGAGCACACGCACACGGAGAAATGGAGGCGGTCAACAGAGGCAAGCTCGCTCTCGGTCTGGAAATCAATCTGATCCTATTATCCTTCGGTAAGGCTCTTTTTCGCCCTTGCTCTCTCTGCTCCATTTTATTTAAGCGCGGCACTATTTTTCTCCTAGTGTGTTTGTTTTTAAGCTCCTAGAGATGACTTTTTAGACAACTAACATAATAGGAATTGTCTGTGGGATGTTCTTTTACCCTCCTAGGGGGGAATAAGGGTCTTGGAGAACAGCTGTCAAAGTTTCCTATTAGCCTTGAAAATCCCCTTTGCTATTAGGCTGTTTTGAAAAGAACAGTCTACCAAACAAAAGGGTCAAGAGCTCTCAAGACCACCTGTGGTAAAATCACCAGACTGAGGCTCCCGCTGCGGGCACACCAGCTCTGCAGAGTGGGCGTTCAATGGCATTTGCTCAGTATTTTCAAAGAACAATGTGTCTAAAAGGGCAATTTTCTATTAAAAAAAAAAAAAGGAGCGGTCATTAAAAAACCACCTTGCCCCGGCTCCTTCCATAGAGCATAACCATCCCCAATACGGGCCGCCGCCGCGCTTCACAATGTTCCTGAGCAAACTCCATGATCTTCTCATTCCACTTGTCTACAAACTTTTAAAAGCCCCTTTGTATGTGTATGCAAAATTTTTCTTCCCACACACTTTTTCCTCTCTATGAAAGAGGAAGCATTTCCTATATTATAGTCTAACAATATCATATTTGCTCCTACAGTGTGGTCAGAGGGCAGAGAATGAGGCAGAAACTCGTACAAATGATTCCCTCCCATCTATCATGAAACACAACAAAATGTTAAAAATGGTTCATTTCGGTGGTTGGATTATAAGTGACTTCTTCCTTCTTCATTCAGTAATACTCACTTCCTTTTTCTATTAAGTGTGGATTGCTTTAATAAAGATAAACTATTTTAATGAATGTTCTTTGGAAGATAGTTGGACAGATCAACCAACATCTGGGCTTGGCCCTGAAATACTTGGAGAAGGGAGAGGTGGGGATATTGGTTTGGGAGGGCGGTGCTAATGGCAGAAGTTACCGATTCCATAATAAAGGTTGTTTTGTTTAAGTGTCAAAAAGTAGCTTTCTACTTATTTCTAACTTGACATTTAGAAAAACAGACATATTGAGAAGTTTTTCTATTTCTCTCCACTACAGATAGATGAAAGTTCTCCACTTTTGCAGAGGGTACAGTGGGTTTTGTTTGTTAAAGAAAGAAAAAGGGAAAGCACTCATGGGACCTTGAAACAGAATCCTTCCCGTGGTGTAACACATTTTCCAGACTTCTCTATTTTGCTAATGCGTTGCTTAACCAGGCGGGGAGGGGCTGCTGTTTCCTAGGAAACCCTCCCTTTAGGGCTTCTCCCACCCTCAGGTTACCATGCTGAAGTGGAAAATCAGGGGGGGACCTGAAACTCCAAAGTTGCAACTATTTCTTAATCGTGCTGCTACTTCTCAAAAGAGTTAAAAGTTGGCTTCCCTTTGAAAAACTGTCACTGAAAGAGGAACTGAGGAGGAAACACTTAACTTTGTTGCCCAAACCAATTCCATTTCAAAGGATTACTTTATGTCTTGAACGAGGCAGAAGAAACACATCTGGAGTGGCCTCACCTCTATGTCCGCAGAAGGCACAGAGGAGTGGCATCTAGTCCCATCTCCACTTCCACCTTCCTGAGGGAGGGCGCAAGTGACCTCTAATGTGGTCACACCAGCAAGAGAAACTGCTACCTTTTATTCAGTGCTTACTGTGGGGCTTGCCCAAAGACCAAACTGGATGCCACAGAGTCAAACTCTGACTCATCAACCCGTGGGTTACAGGGCCGAGCTGCTCTCTGGAATTTTCTGGGCTGTAATCGTTACAGAAGCAGGTGGCGGGCCTTTCTTTCCCACAGCAGCACCTGGTAGGTTGGATGAGGCAGCCATTCGATCAGCAGCTGAGTGCACACGGGTTTTGCAGCCCAGGGACTGTGACGAGGACAGTCATATGATCTGCATTTTGCTAAAAGGCAAACTGAGGCGCTGAGAAATTAAGACCAACGAGCTAGGAGCTGGCAGGGGCTAGGAGTCAAACACAGATCTGTGCTTAATCCCAATAGTGCTCATCAAGTGAAGGTAAAAGCTACCCAGGCTGCAAAGCAGTGGACAAGAGCCAGGCAGAAGTAAAAACGTGCTCAGCGTGCCTGGCTAGTGCCTTGGGCTCTGCTCGGTAATAGGAGCCCCCGAGGGAAGTCAGGCCAACGTTTCCACAGGTGCACATCTTGACTCATAGGTTTCCTGTAGGGACATCAGGTTTACAAAGGGCCAACTGTGAATTCAAATTCCTGGTGATTCCAACCCCCACCGGGAGGGGGACCAAGGTGGCCCTGTTTGTGCCTGGAGTTTGGATACACATTTCCACACTGAATTCATGCCTCTGACAGATTACATGATTCGCACAAGATCAAAGGAAAGCCTGTAAGTGGCAGGAGTACACACGAACACCCCAAACTCCTGAATCTATGGGACTTTCTCTAGGGCTCCCTGCCTACTAGCCCTCAGGCCAGCGAGCAGTTGGGCCACTGGCATCTGGTTGTAAAGCCCTTGTTGGTGCTGCATGTAAGCTAAGAAACAGAAAGGACTGGCTGGGATCCCTGCCCCCAAATAGAAGCATAAGCAGTGAGGTTCGAAGCCAGCTTGCTCACTCATCTGCTTCCTCCACCAGGTGCTGCGGGTGCCTGTACAGTGTCTGTCACACAGCCATCCTACCTCCATGTGGAGTACACGCAGCAGGCTGTTACCATCACCTGCACCTTCTCCTCCACCCGCTGCCCTCCAGAGCTACCAACCAGCCTGTGGTTCCGCTACGACGCCCAGCGGTCAGAGCGCCTCTGCTCCGACGGGTGCCAAAGTCAGGCCGACAAGTTCACAGTGAGGGAGTTCCCGGCACAGAACCAAGTCTCCCTCACTGTAAACTGGGTGACTCAAAATGACAGTGCGATTTACATCTGTGGAATCGCATTTCCAAGTGCAAGTGAACCGAAAGCTAAGCAAACTGGAGGAGGCACCACGTTGGTGGTGAGAGGTCAGTACATCCCAGTCTGTTCAGATCTTTACATTAAAACGCCGCTTACATGCGGGAATGACGAGGTAGAAGTGCTGACAGTGAAGGACTTGACCCAGACAGGTGTGGCTTAAGGAACTGCTCCTCCTCCAATTCCCCGCCCCGTCTGTCTCTCCATGTACAGGCCTTCCTGGGTAAGTCTATCATCTTCTTCCTTCCCCTCTGACACTGACTGGTGTCATGAGAGCCCCAGGCCCAAACCCAGTGAGAGCGAACTCTCCACTTTGTCAACAATGGTCTGCCAAGACCGTCCTTCGCCTAAAGCCCTGGAGGGGCAATCCGTGAAGAAGGGATTGCTGAACCTAGCCCAGGAAAGCTTGCGCTAGGAAGACTACACGCTAACAGCGGTACGTCACTGCAGGACCCCTGACCTCACCATTTGGTCCCAGACAGCAGGGAACAAATATGACTCTCGGATTCGGAGACCAGTGTTGCAAAGTCCCAGAGACCATGACCCAACTCATTCCCTAAGTATTCTGGGATGGAGACATTTTAGAAGAAAAGAGCCCATGACTCTGGAGTTAGGAGGAAGCAACGGACACCTTGTCTGAATCTGTGTTCAGACAGGGCTCTGGTGGCTATGAGTAGAGACGATGAAATCATACACTAAAAGTCAAACCCAGTCCTCCTTCTGGGTGTAAAGGAAGACTGTGGATGCAAGAACCATCTTATCCTATAATTCCTGCTCTTAACTATTAGAGTTGTTCTTTTAGTTACCTGGGATTTTGATGCCTGAATGCCTTTTAACTGTAGTCTCTCCTAACTTGTAAGAAAAACTGTTAAGTGAGTTAATGCATGAGGTATTTTCAATAGTACCTGGAATTCTTTCTAGGACTCAGCTACTAACTGAAAGGTTAAAGGTTTGACTCTACCCAGAGAACCCTCAGAAGAAAGGTCTGGCGATGTACTTCTGACAGGTCACAGCTACTGAAGACCCCGTGGAGCACAGTTCCACTCTGACACTCAAGGCGGGTCACCATGAGCCGAGGCTACTGGGTAGCAACTGGTTAGGGTTACTGGCATGACAGCACACACACGACAACTTTGCAGATTTCTATGTCTCACTTTTAAATTAGTCTTCGATGAAAACTGTTAGCTAGAAGAAACTGGCTTCTAAAGAGATGAACAACTCAATCACATATAAAAGGCGAACTCCTTTTGAGGAGCAGAAATTAAAGTACAGCTAAGAGAGGCATAGCAAGTTCCTGCTTTTTCTACAGAGCTTCACTTCCAGTTTTTCCTAATGGCTAACTAGTTAGCTTCACAACATGCAAGTGTGCCTTGTACAAACTGTGTTCAGAGAATAAGAGTCTGTGGGACACTACTGCAAATCTAACCTCATTTTATACTTCCAAGTCTACTTGAAGGCACGGCACGCTAGTTCGCAGAGACCCATAGCAGGTGGGCTGCTGACCTTTGCCTCCTACCTCCAGAGGCATGGGGTGCTTTTCCTCTAAAAGAGCACTTCTTGCAGGGGGAAGACATTCCGAACACGCAGGAGGATGGCTCACTGTGTCTAGAACACAACTCTGAAGATGAATGCAATAATGCCTTGTCTCAACACAGCAGTTCTCAACATGGGGGTCAAATGACCCTTTCACAGTGGTTGCCTGATTCCTAACAGTAGCAAAATTACAGCTATGAAGTAGCAATGAAAATAACTTTATGGTGGGGGTGGAGGGTCACCACATGAACTGTATTAAAGGGTCGCGGCATTAGGAAGGTTGAGAACCACTGTCTTAACATGTCATGTGCCAAGAGCACCAAGACCCTGTGCAGCTGAGTTCACCACGAAGCTGCAAGAACAAATGTCAGCAACACCTGTGACAAAGACCTGTGAAAGGAGTGAAGTCCAGAAATGGCGTCTTAAGACATTTGCATGCCATTTCTATCAAAAGACATGTGAACTGCTCTTGAACAAACTGACTTAAAATGCCCACATGACTTTAAGGAATACTACAGAAAGAGCGATTCTTGGCATTATGACAAAATGGTTGAGTTTTTAAATTTTCTTCTAAAAAATGAGTCATACTTTTGGTAGAATTCATTTCCAGAGCTAATGGACTGGCCTTGAATGCCATATAAAACCAAACCCATGGTATCATACGTCCGTGACAACTCACAGCGGCCCTACAGCACAGGGTGATCTAGCCCGTGGGATTCCAAGACTATAACTCTTTATAGGAATGGAAAGCCTCATCTTTCCCTCACAGAACAGCAGGTGGTTTCAAACAGCTGACCTGGTGGTGGTTATCAGTCCAGCACCTAACCACAAGGCCACCAAGGTTCTTATAGCCAAAAATATTGTTGCCAGGGTTTCAGTTCATAAGTACACAGGTTTATTGCATATAAAATGTGTTTAAACTGCTCTCTGTTAAGTAATGCACTTGTCTTAGTCTTGCTAAGGTGGCTTAAAATATAAAAGATCAATCAAAACAGTGGCTTCTGAAGGATCTACTTTGCCCGTTATATTCAAGGCAGAGCAATCAGCTCAAATGTTCCGGTGACTGTGCTTTAGGATCCCAATGTGTTCTTCTTGCTAGATTTTCTCAAAGGAAACAGGACAGTCGGGAGGGCCTACTGTAAAGACATTTTAAGAAATCTTTAAATGGTCAGGAAAATTGTACTGAGGACTTTGTTTCCATCGTGGCAATGCACTCACTCATCCTTTGAGGGTAAGACGGGCTGTCTTAGGAGAATTTCATTGGGAAACCTTACCTACTACCCTGATCTTACACCTTCAGATTTTCTGTTGTTTTTCCCCAAAATTGTCGGGCTGACATCATGTAAATCGAAGGGCAAAAAGAAGAGTTAGAGATAACGCAAACGCTGCCTTCAGAAGTGTACAGCTCGAGAAGAAACTGTCGAGAAACATCAGCTGCATCTTTTGAAACAATAGCATCTTATTTCCGCTTAAGATAGGCTCCTACGATTTTGTTGCAGTACATGTTGACTTGGAACGTCGTGAATCGAGATTCACCATATGAATAGCTAAGCAGAGTCCGTTCGTTTCACATGGAGCTCCAATGTACCTTACACATAGCTTTGCAAGAGTATGTTTCGGTGGTGACTGTGGCTCTCTGTTTTTGTGATTCCTAAAGAACGTGAGCTCAGCGCCCAGCTGCAGAACAGTCTGATAGCGCTCCTACTGCTGTTCTCCGTCTACCTCGTTGCTGTGGGCGTGGTCTTCGTGGTTCTCTCCAGAGTAAGTCAAATTCCGGGACTCTACATTACCATAAAGGAAATCCTATGTCTCTCTCCTAATTAGCATCTTCCTTTGCACCTGGCAGGAGACACCACCTGCTGAGGTCTGCAGAAGAAAGCATGCATTTTCACTACAGAAATACATTCTAGCAGACTACACAATTTAAAACCGAGCCCAGTAATATGAGAATAAAAGATACTTTTTAATAACCATATTACATGCTAGCTTTCTGGGAAGCAGGAGGGGTGTGTGTGGGTTGTCATGATAGCCCCTAAATAGTGTTTACTAGCAATAAGGAATTTTGACAGAGAGAGAGGGGTCAGCTCAAACTATCTTTTGACAGAGAGAGAGGGGTCAGCTCAAACTATCTTAAAATATTTTACAAGACTGAATTTGTTGACAGAGTAGCTTCTGCTGATGCACAGTCTTTGAACAGGATATGTTGTTGTTCGGTGCCCTGTGCCTTGGAGAAGGGCACCGTGTTTGGTAAAGCGGAGGGCAAGGAACAAGAGGAAGCCCCTTCAGGGAGACGGACTGACACAGTGACTGCAGCCAGGAGCTCGAGCACAGGAGCAACTGAGCGGCACAGGGTCTGGGGCGGTGTTTCTTTCTGTTATGCACAGGGTTGCTATGGAGAAAAGATATGCATATGTTCTATTAAGATTACTGTCAGTTCTATAACTGACATCATTTTGTTGATAAATTATTTTATTAATGGAATATAAGCATCTCAGAAATTATATGAAAAGCATTAACTCTTACTGCACATCATTTTGAATATTTAGTTTAACCTTACTATGGTAGGAGATTACCTGTCACAATTATTTTCAGTGCAAAAATGTTGCTCTAAGACTTTTCTTTTCTTGGCAGTCAAAATCTAACAGTTTACGGAACAAAGATATAGAAGAAGATTCACAAAAGGTACAGTACAGACCACTGCTTGTAAAATACTTTTAAATTATGGCTGGCTATAATGATTTCAAAGCAGAAATATTTTAAGAAACATACAAACCTATGGTAATTTTCAAGCATAGCAACTAATGTTTCATATTGTTGAAAAACTCAAGGTAGCCTCCAATCATAAACTGATTTAAATCTGACAGTTTAGTATTATCTCAACCATTGAGATACACTAAAAAAAAGACAAGTGTTAACCGTAGGTATGGATGTGGGGAGGAGGGGAGTAGTTAGTTTTCTGAGGCTGGAGGCAGCAGAGAAAGAACAGGCTCAAATAATGTGGAGCAATCATCACATCTTGTCTTTCTCATTCTGACTTATAGAAGAAGAGTGCTCGGCGGATTTTCCAGGACATTGCTCAAGAACTATACCATAAGAGATACGTGGAAAGGAGTCAGCAGGTTGTAAGTGCAAACACTGAACTGAGTGGACGCAGAGATAAAAAATGTTTAACTATAAATCCATAGTAACACAGACATCTTGAGAAACACTGAAAACAGGCCACGTTTTCAGTCTACACGTGAATGCTTTTGTGGATGAAATACTTTGCGGTATGTTGTTGCATGCAGCAGTAAGCAGTAGAAGTGACAAACGTGTGTGCGAATCAAATTAGATATAAAAAGTACCTGTTTCTGACAAGGGAGAAATAACTCACATTAGAAAAGACCCCACTTAGAAAATAGGAAATGATTATTTCTTTAGTGTTTGGGATTGGAGTAATAGCAAGAAAAGCATTTACTATTGTTTTTAACAACAACAACAACAAAAATTAAACATGCAGCAATATTTATATAAATGCAAAATCTATAATACATCCTGATAGTGTTCCAAACTGTACAGTGAATCTACATAAAAAGATCTTTCAAATGAGATGTAGTTTTTATTGGATGAAGAACAGATACTGTTTCTACTATGCATGATCAGGTGCCTCAGATTTCAATGTAACAAAAGTACGAAATAATGAGCTTACAGGGGGACCTGGTGAGGGCGGAGAGTCAAAAATAAATAAACAGTGAACTTACATGCTAGTGCATCTATTTTCTTCTTAAAAGTTGCCGTGAAGACAAACAAGTGGCACAGGATTCTTTTATGACATCATTTTTTTCCTTTTCAAATCCAACTTTTCAGAAGAATTTTCACCCAGGAGAGAATATTGTCCAAGTCGTCATTTAGTCTCGAATGTATGTGCAAATACAAAGAAAATGGTCTGACCACATTAGGTGCTATCCTGACTAGTTACACGTGTGTGTTTATGTGTGCACTTATTTCTTATTAGCGCATCTTTTTGTCACAGAGGCAGAGGTAAGTGGCCTTTAGGAGAGTTATTCCTCACTGGAAGTAACATTGTAAATTTCTAAGCCAGGGCATGGCCAAGGCATCCGAACAAGGAAGTTATTTTTTCAGTTTTCACAAGCTACACTGGATAGAAGGGAAGTGAGAACCTGGGCGTTAGGACTATTAGGAAGATACTTAGGACCCAGGACAACATGATTCTCTGTGTGTTGCTGGGCTGTATCTACTTAATCCTTGCTTGTGTTTACTCTCACAGGAGAAAGACAGCAACACATATGAGAACAGAAGAGCAGTTTCCAATTGTGAAAGGCCATAGAAATGCCAAGTTGCTGAAAATCTGAGTCGAGCACCTATGGAATGTTCATGGACATACACCATTCCGGGCTTCTGGACAACTGGCTGTGAAACAAGAGGGCACAGCCTAAGAATACAATAGAAAAGTACTTTCTGAATTTAATGGAAAAAAATCTAAGAAGCCTAATATCTTCAAAAATTAACAACAAAGCACCACCCATTTTTATAACACATATCCCATGTTTCACTCGATGTATGATGCTTGTGATGAACACTACCCCGAAGAAGATTCAAAGCCAAAAACGTGCCTCGGGCTCGAGTGGAAGAACTGTCCATTTGGGCTGTGGACATGGACAGGTGGACTCAGGGGAAGCGAGAAAGGAAGGAAGGGCAGGAAAAGAGAAGGATAGGGGAAGGGGGTGGGTAGCTAGGTGAAAGAGAAGAAGGGTGATTTTAGGTGTCAAAATTATATCAGAGCAAAATTGATTTCCTCTGATATTGCAATGGGGCAGCCGTTCAGCGCATTTTCCTGCCAAGGCATGCAAAATAACTCACAGCACACTGTCCACTGAGGGGGAATTATAATGGAATGGAAAAGCGAGTGAGGATAATTCAACTGCCGAAAAATCCAGTGCAGACCTTGGCTGAAGGGTACAGAAAGGGCCAGAACGAATAACCCACAGCTGACACTAGATGTCAGTGTTGAGCAAGTCACAGCACCTGGAAGGCAAGGATGACTGCCCCACAGCCTTGCCACGTGGATTTGTTCAATCTTGAAGGAAGGTATTCCGGATGGGGCGGAGTAGAACAAGGAAATGTATGGATCTCACAACTATTTCATTATGAAAATGTAATACCAATTGCTCTTTGAAAGCTCCTTCGGTGAAAAAAACCCACAAGTGTACATTATTATTAAATAAGAATTATAACCCGAACTTCTATTTCATTAAAGTATTTCTTTGAAACTATTAAAAAAGGTTGAATTTTAAAAGATTTTCTCTATATGAATGTTTTTTTGCATTGATGATTAAATTCCGTGATCTCCACCATGTCTAAATGGATAGGCCAGTAAAATGCGTCTGTGCGAAAGAATGTGTATAAATGTGTGAGTGTAGATATATGACACACACATATATCCCAAACCCATTACCACGGAGTGGCTCCAACTCACAGAAACATTAAATAGAGCGTCTGAGGCTATAAATCCTTACAGTAGGAGACAGGGAAAAGACAGCCTCATCTTTCTCCCGCACAGTGACTGGTGGGTTTGAACTGCTGACCTTGCATGTACACACACACACACTCATGGCGCTGTTGGTTAAGCACTGGACTGCTAACCCAAAAGTTGGTGGTTAAAGTTGGGAGAAAGATGAGGCTCTCTGCTCCTATAAAGATCTACAGCCAAATGGGGAGCTGATATCAGGGGCTCAAGTGGGAAAAGAATGCTTTGAAAATGATGATGGCGGCATATGTGCAAATGTGCTTGACACATTGGAATAATGTAAGGATTGTGATAAGATATGTAAGAGCCCCCAATAAAAGTGTTTAGAAAAAGAAAAGAACAATACAAGCCAGTAGATCAGAAATGCCAATGAGGAGCCACAGGGATAAACTATACGTGTTCAGAGGAGGAAGAGGCAGTGGCCTATCCCTTGAAGCATCTGAGAAGAAAATAGTTTATGTCCTACCATGTTATCATGTGGATATTCCTCTAGTATACACTTCCAAATGAAAATAATAAGTTACATGTTAGAGCTCTGGGAAAAAAAAAAAGATCTACAGCCTTAGAAGCCCTGCACAGGGTTGTGATGAGTCAGAATCAACTCCATGGCAGGAGGTTTGCTTTGGGTTATTTATAGATGTGTGTATATCTTAGACACAAAATTAGAAATTAAACAACACCATAAAAAGCAATATAAATAGAAACAATATTTTCTTCCTCTATCCCAAAATAAACTGTCTTGTATATTCTCTTGGGTACACACCCCTCTTCCCACTGTGAGACACTTTGACTTGGGTGATCAGATAGTAAGAAAAAAGTGGGGGTGGGGATACTAACTTCAGCCCGGTGAATAAGCAAACCAAAAAACTTCCAAATCCTCTGTCGTCAAATTGATTCTGACTTATGATGACCCTGTAAGACAGAGCAGAACTGCTCCTTTAAGTTTCCATGACTGGGAACAGGCTGGCTCATTTTCCTCCTAAGGAGTTGCTGGTTGGTTCGAACTGTTGACCTTGCTGTTAGTAGCCCAACATAACACACTATGCTTCAGGAATCCTTAGGTGATGAGAATTGCCTAATTGATTAGATCATTTACTTCACATTTCTGAAGTCACTACATTTTGGTACTTCCTCCAGAGCTGACTATATATATATACAGTGAACCCTCGTTTATCGCGGTTAATCGGTTCTAGACCCTACCGTGATAAATGAAATTCCGCGAAGTAGGATTCCTTATTTGTAAATCAAATATTTTCATAGTTAGAGCATAGAGGACATTAAAAAACACCCTTTAGTCACCATTACACTCGTATTACCCAATTTATTAAACGAAAAAGGGAAAATACAGTAAAACATTTTGGACGTTACAATTATCATTTATTATTTATTATACTATTTATGGCATCAAGCGTGTACAGTATCAGCCAATCAGTGGCAGTAATGACAGAGCATGCGCTGTTACGCAAAAACCGCGATAGAGTGAAGCCCCGGAAGTCAAAGCACGAAGTGGCGAGGGTTCACTGTATATATATATATATCTTTGTGTAACTAATTAGGAGACAAAAATCACAAAATTGCCTAGAATTCCATTCAGAATAAGCCTTTCTCAATGGAGGCAGAAGTTGTGTTCCAAGGATGATTTTATTACTAAAATATGGAATGCAATTTCTCAAGAAATGGAACTCTCTTCTCCCAGATCATACATACCAAACACCCACTGCCCGTAAACCGATTACGATTCATGGCAACCTCTCTAGGATTTCCTCGAGGTTAACAGTCCAGTGCGTACTCAACAGTGCCACCGGGGCTCCTAGATCGTCCCTAACAGTCCCTGATAGAAACACAATAACAATTCTTTTATCTGCCCACTTAGCCAGCCACAATACTGTGTGCAAGACTATTCATTATACAACTCAACTCCCCTTTCACATGGGATCCACAGGCCAGCCTCATGGAACCTGTCTTATGCTAAGCCTATCTAGCACACATCTTCATTGTTTTTATATACTGTTGCTTTCTGCAAGGAGCCTGGGTGGTGTAGTGATTACATGTTGGGCTGCTAACCCTAAGGTCAGCAGTTCAAAACCACCAGCCTTTACCTGGGAGAGAGAAGAGTCTGTCTACTTCCATAAAGAATCCGTCTGGGAAACAGAGATAGTTACAGTTCTACCCTGTCCTGGAGGGTCCTTGTGAGTCAGCATGGACTCAGTGGCAGTGAGTTTGGTTGCTTTCCACAAGGTCAGAACGTCCACTACAAACACCGGCTCAAATGTCACCTCCAATACGGACGAGCCTTCTCCAGCTCCTTTCAAATGCACACTACGCACGCAAATGGGATTCTCAGCACACTGTTCTGCTGTTATTTTTGTTTGCGTCTATCAGATCCCTGGGATCTGTCTGGGAAGAACATGCAGACCAGAAGCACAGTTCTCATTGATCTTTGTATTCCTATTGCTCAGCATTGCCTGGTCTACAGGGAACCCTCAGATGACTTAAGGGACTGCAGTGCATTGATGTTTCTCTAGAAAAAGTTTTCAGCATTCCAACTGAGGAGTGAAACCTGTACCATACCCTACAGATCTTGTGGTGAGGCTAGCCATCCACCCTGCCCGCTCTCCACAGGTCGGTCTGTGTGCTGAATCCCTGAAAGTATTCACTCTCCTGCCATCTAAGCACCCAGAGAAGGCTGTCCTGGTAAACGTTATACTAAAGCTCTCTGTTCAGATTTGAATTCTCCACGACAAAAGGAAATAATGCTGAAGCCACCAGAGAGAAATGGGTAGAAACAGGGTTCTAGTCTCTACTTCCCAGCAGGAGCATTTAACCCACTTACCAAAAGGGATTTTCAGGACATGTCGTTTCTCTTTTCACTACTACATAAGACGTGACCGAATCTGAAAGCCCTGGCTAAGGGGTTTACAGTTATGTTTCAGTAGCGTGAAGTCACATAAACTGATAGAGAATGCACAGACTTGGGGATATAAAAAATGCACAGACTTGGGGATAAAGTTAAAATGCGTAATAAAGATTTCAACTGAAGTGTGCAATTGTGAAGCGTTTCAGGCAGGTATGAAAGATACTGGTAAATTATTCAATCAAAAGAACTGAACAGCTAAGATCAGTAAAGCCATAAATAAAACAACAGAAACGAAAGCTAGCACCTATCAAATCCCAATCCTGAGACCAGCATGGGCTCGGCACTCATTAGATCACTTAATCCTCTCAGCAACTGTCCAGACAGGCATCAGCCCCATTTTTACAAATGAAACACTGAGATTAAGTCCAAGGCAACCCAGGACACAGGTGATGACCCATGTTTCAAACACTGGTCCGACTTCAGAGCCCATGCTCTTTCCACTGCACAGCACGGCTTCTGTCTACTTAGAGCAGCAGTTCTCAACCTGAGGGTCGAACGACCCTTTCACAGGCGTCGCCTAAGACCATCAGAAAACACATTATGATTTACATTATGATTCATAACTAGCAAAATTACAGTTATGAAGTAGCAACGA